GAAGTACAACGTACTATGTTAGAACTTATTAATCAATTAGATGGATTTGATAAACGTGGAAATATAAAAGTCCTTATGGCAACAAATAGACCAGATACACTTGATCCAGCACTGGTTAGACCAGGACGACTTGATAGAAAGATTGAATTTGGTCTTCCAGATATTGAAGGAAGAACAGAAATATTCAAAATTCATACAAAGCCAATGAGTGTTGCAAAGGATATTCGTTATGATCTTTTAGCTAGATTATGTCCAAATGCTACTGGAGCAGAAATTCAATCAGTTTGTACTGAGGCAGGAATGTTTGCAATTAGAGCAAGAAGAAAAGTTGTTACTGAAAGAGATTTCTTAGACGCAATAGAAAAAGTTATTAAAGGTTATCAAAAGTTCTCTGCAACTCCAAAATATCTTGCTTACAATTAAAAGATAATTATTGTTTTCTTTTTCTTTTGTTTTTTTGTATTTTAAACCTATTTTTTTTTAACAATCTAATCAATTAATTTATTTCTTTAATGTTTTTTATTCTTTTTATTCTGTTTCTTTCCTTGTTTTTGGTTTGGTTGTTGTTGTGGTTTCTTTTCTTCTTTCTTTTGTGGTTGTTGGTGTTGTTGGACTTTACTTTCTTTCTTTGTTTGTTGTTTTTTCTCCTCCTTCTTTGGTGCTTGTGGTTTCTTTTCTTCTTTCTTTGGAATGACTACTTTCATTGGTTTAGTGTCTTCTTCTTCCTCATCACTTTCTTCTCTCTCTTCCAACTTTTCATCACCACTTTCACTATTTTCTCCTTCACTCATGTCTTCTTCCATTTCTTCATCTTCCTCAAATTCATTGTCTTCAACTTCATCGAAATTACCAACAACATGAAGAGTTCCATTACCTTTGACAACAAATGTAACTTCATCAAGATATAATGGAATATCAACTGAGTGTTGTGGAATAGCAGATGACAAAGTGCAAACAAGAACTTCATCCTCATCATGTTTCAAATATAATTGTGTTTTAGAATCGCCTTCAAGGGTAATATGTCTAAGATTAAAATATGCCCCTTCTGGTGCAATGCATTTATGTGGAGCAGAAGCAGAAACAGTAAAAGCTTCAAGAGACATTATCTAATTTGATTTGTTTTCTTTTGAGTTCTCTCTTTTAAGGGTTGAATTTTAGTTCATTTTAATATCTTTTATTATACTTTATAGAATTTGTTTTTATTTTTTCTCTTTCTCATTAACAAAATTT